CCTCAGCTTCTTGTTCTCCTCATGCAATGCATTAATCTCCTCCTGAAGAATCTTTATCATCGTTTCTGCCTTCATCAAATCAAGTTTCAACGATTTGGTTGTTGTTGTGTAAGAATCATGGTCTTGAGTGGTCTGGCTTGAGTTTCGTTTGCATTTGTATTGTTTGGGAGGCAATGGAGTTTCTTTGTTGAGGACACAAAGAGGAAGAGCTTCTGCTACATATTTTCTCTTGTGTGACTCTTTATCATCATCTTCCTTAAGGTCAATGAACTTCCACTCCTACTGGTTTGTTCCCTACACAAAATAGTTTACATGAGAGTTAAATAAAACTCAAGACAACCAAAGATGATAATATTTCACATAGTACATAACCACAAACTCAAAAGAATCTAATAGAAAGGACAGCAATACATACATGAGGGAATTCATTATTTTCTGGTTTGTTTTCCACAAGGCGATACTCATGGATCACCCAATTGGTCCGTCGACCGTTTGGAGCACGTACTTTGTGAAACACAAGAGTCCTTACCATACTGATCAACACATATTCTCCATGGACATCCTTGTCTTTTCCAGTATCATTCCTTTTTGTTTTCCGGCTCATTCTAGTACCCGTGTCGTACTTCTTATTTATGGCACTGAAGAAGTACCATTCTTTATCCGTTGTCTTCAACTTCGAATACTCTAAAACAACAAAACCACTAAGAATCACATTTCCTTATACACAAGTAACCAATTGTAGGAACACAAATCGCAAGAAAATGCTTCAGATTCCAAGTAAACATAACAAGGGGTACTATAATATAACCCAAAGAATAACAAAAACACAAGCCAAGAAATCTGCAACAGAAATTCCAAAATTCTTTTTCTCGTAGAGTCAAATCACTCAAACAAACATTAAGAACACGGAATCTAACACATACGCGAAATCCATACCCGGAAAATCCCAAATCAGAAGCATTAATTCCAAAAAACAGAGGAAGATTTTTACCTACATGATTATACAACAGAAATTAACAAAACTTAGTATCAGATATAAGCACTAAGAAACATAATTATTTAATTCATGTTTGGCATCATAATGGAAAACATGTTGATCAAAGAGCGAAGATGATTCGTCGATAGATTTGTTGAAGATGAGCCAAAAAAAATTCCATAGTTAGAACAACCACTCATAAAGTGACACCTATGGAGTTCTTAAGAATTCTTAAATGTCTAAATTAAGGACCGGTTGTTAAACCAAAACACAATAAACTTATATTTTTAATTCTTTTTATCTTCAAATACTCCTCTAAGAACTCTTTCACATGTTGAAAGTAATTCATCATCACTTTCACATGTGCTTCTAGATTGTTTTACCATGGAGGTTGGTGAAAGAATGTTGGTGAAGGAGGTACACAAGTCAAAAATGGAGGTTGGTTTTGTTGTCAACAAATTTGGCTCACTTATTCACACTTAACCAACCTCCTCCTCAAACACCCTATAAATATGTGAGCTTCTCATTGTTTGTAATCATCCCATAGAATAAAAATATAAGAGAGTACAAGAGAGAAGTTGCAATCTCAAGCAACAAAGAGTTTTGTGAGGTTTTATAAAAATAATGAGTGGTGTGAGATTTGATTGTCTTTCTTAAGTTATAAACTTTGTATTGTGAGTGATTTACAAATAAATATAAGAGTGTTTTGTTTGTTTTTCAACATCACATGCACCCATGGAGGTTCTAAAACCTCTAAAGATGGATGTTTAAAACGG